GAGTGTGATGGAGAGAGAGAGAGAGAGAGAGAGAGAGAGAGAGAGAGAGAGAGAGAGAATGCAAAGGAGAGAGAATAACCATCACTTCTGTCATAATTTAGCTGACCTTACCCGTGCGTTTAAACTGACGGGTCCACATGCACTTCCCTGAAGCAATGCACTTTGAGCAATCAGAAGCCTCACAGGAGATCTCAGAGCAGTTACTGGCCAGGAATATCTCTCGTTGATTAATGCGACAGTCGTTTTCCGAGGTGCAGCTTCCATCACTGCCGATGCAGGCTCCCTCTGGGCAGTTTGTGCACCATTTGCAGCGTGGGGCTCCCTGGGAAAAAAGCAGAAGACATTTTCATTCATCTCAAATGCATGTTGGACTTCACTCCCTCTGTGGATACATACATGGAGTCTGCATGGCTGCACCAGCAAGTATACTTTTAGAAGCATACCCAACTCTATCACTCTCCATCTGAAGTTAACTTAAAGGAGAATTATGAGGTGAGTGATTTGCACTCCGCCTCATAATCTGAGCCGACCTGTGACAATGAGACTGTCACAGGTCGGCTCAGTAGATCGGGAAGTGAGCGAACACTTACTGGCGCTCGCTCACTTCTCGATCCTGTGCCGGCAGAGAGCCGTGACAGGGGAGGGACTGAGTTCCCCCCTCCCCTGTCCGATCCTCCAGCGCTGACTGGCGGAACGGACGGGGGTGGGTACAGCTGGCTCTGCCTCTAGATAAGCAGAGCCAGCTGTCAGTCATGCAGCTGGGTGGATCCAAACATAATTGTCGGGATCCGTCCCGGCTGCGGCGTCTCAGTATACCACGAGCTGTAGCTCGCGGTATACTGAGTTTTGGGTGACGGGAGGACGCTAGTTTGTGTCCTCCTGTTCCCCTAGGAGAACTATGGGGAAAAGCCCTGACCCCATAGTTCTCCTTTAAAGGTCACCAGACCTATTTAAATGCAAACCTTGCAGCACACCGGCCACAGCGGGGATGCTGGATGCAGGCAGCACAATAGGTGTGCTGGGAGCAGGGTGGACTGGTATAAATCATCCCTCTTGTAGAAACAGAGTGCAGATGCAATGTCATCACAGTCCCTATAACTCAGGCACACTTACCATAGTTAGCTGGGCACTCATGGAGCGAGGGTGCTGTGCCAGGCACTCACTGCAGGTCTTCAATCTTCTGCAATCATCTGCCGATCTTGGCAAAGGAAAGCACGAGGAGAGTGCTTGGGGACAGCCACGTCTGTCATATACAAAACAAAGGCCATCAAACTACTGTATACCTTAATGCACCAGAAGAGGCAGATTATCATAATATACCTAATGACTATGAAAAACAGAAATGTACTGCAAAAACTAGAGGCCACCACCTAAAATTGGTGGAAAAAAAATTCCAGCACAAGGGGCGAAGGGGGTTCTTTACAGTTAGAGCGGTTAGGGTCTGGAACTCACTGCCACAGGCGGTGATTTCAGCAAATAATGTGGAATTGTTCAAGAAACTTTTGGACGATTTCTTAAGGGACCGTAATATACAGGGGTACAGGTAACATACAGGGGTACAGGTACTCCTAGAATGAGATCCTAATAGGTTGGACTTGACGGACTAATGTCTTTATTCAACCTCAAATACTATGTAACTATGTACTAACCATAGCGATTTATCAAACTCTGCCCTTTAAAGCTGGCTACACACGTTACAACCTAACTGTACAAGTACCACCTTGTTCAAACAGATTGTAACATCGGCAGCAGTACATTTCAGTACCATAGAAAGGAAGCTCCAATATGGGCCAGAAAAACAGTTCAGTATGTACAGATTGCTGTCATAAAGCGCACGTTGATGCAGAAGAGTTATCAATTTAAAAGGAACATTTAAAAGTCTTTATGGCTATTTTTTTTGTTTTGGTTATCACGAAGGCCTCCTGGCCTGAGAAGCATTCATGGTTAAGGCCATCAAAGACAACCCCTAAACAGAGTTGAAGGTGACACCTCAAGGTTTATTTCAGCACCAACTGCAGCCTCCTGGAGACTACAATTGGCACTTCTGAAGTCTGGGTACTATTTTTCTTGTGGTGATGGGTTAGACTCCTTGTCAGGTTATTATTATACAGGAGCGCAGCGCTTTACAATATAAGGAAGACATTACAATCACAATACAATTCAAGATGGTAAGGAGGGCCCTGCCCCTGAGGGCTTACAATATAAAAGGGAGGGGCCAGTGATACATGAGGTAGCTGTGTGGGGATGGATTGTTTGAGAATGTGATGGGTCAGTGGGATAGGCTTCCTTGAAGAGATGAGTCTTAAGGGATCGCCTAAAAGGCAGTCAAAGTGGGAGATAGGTTGGGGTAGAGAGTTCCAGAGGATGGGAGAGACTCTAGAGAAGTCCCGGAGGCGAGCATGGGAGGAGTTGACGAGGGAGCTGTAAAGCAGGAGGTCTTGGGAGGAGTGGAGGGGACGGTTAGGGTGATACTTTGAGACAAGGTTGGAGATGGTGCTGGGGGCAGAGTTGTGGATGGCTTTGTAAGTGATAGTTAATATTTTGAATTTTATCCTTTGTGCTATTGGAAGCTAGTGTAGGGATTGGCAGAGGTCGGTGGAGGATGGAAGCCAGTGTAGGGATTGGCAAAGGGGGGTTGCAGACACTGAGCGGTTGGTTAGCAGCATTCATGATAGACTGAAGGGGGAGGAGCCTGTATAGTGGAAGGCCAATGAGGGAGTTGCAATAGTGAACACGGGAGATAACACGGGAGTGGATGAGTAATTTAGCGGTTTCATAGGTTTTAGCTGTCTGAGTCCCCTCTGGGAGTACAATCAAAGTGTCCAAAACTCCTGTGCACTCCTTTCAGCCCCACAGGAATTCTTGGGGCCTCAAGTGAAATGATAGATGGCTAGGACACAAAACACAGCTGAAAGCATGAAATACCACCAGCACACCATAATGAAACCAGCAGGACATTTATTCAGCGAGGGAAGGGTCCACAGTGGCTCCAAAATGGCACATTATTAGGTTGCATATTAATGTCCTGTTGCTTTCCTTAAGGTCTTCTGATGATATTTTATGCTTCCCACTAGGAAGATTGACTGTCCCCATTTGTCTGGTCACCAGGACTGATAGTGATGGAGAATCCGACATTTTGAGTTGTTACCAGAACAAGAATAAAGGGGACATCTTCCAACATGGACTCTTGTTTTAGTGACAACTGTTGAAGAGGAGGCTCTCACTTTGGAGAGATTTTCTCTCACTTCTTGTTGTGTCTACAGTGGCCTAATGGGACAAAGATGGCAAAAGAACAACAACATGGGTTTTAAAGTAGTAATAAACTCCCAACCTTTTCTTCTTTTCCAATACTGATCCAACTCTCTCAGCTCAGCTTCCCTGAACTTCATGTCCAGTAAAAGAAAACAAGAGACAGAGCAGTCTCCAGCAGTTGTCCATCTACTGGGTTGGAGAAGGGGGAAGGAAAGAGGGGGGAAGGAAAGAGGGGAGGGAGGGGGGGAAGGAAAGAAGGAGGGGGAAGGAAAGAGGGAGGGGTCGGGGGCCAGGGGTATGACTTGCCATGCTTTGCCTGTCTGTTTGTAGAAACACACACAGCTTACTAGCACACACACAAAGGTGGCTCCATGGGACCCTGCAAGGGAAAGGAGCCACCCTAGAACAGGAAATCAGGGAAAGTGTTCAGGGGAGCAACTGATTATGCAGGAAACTAAAACTCTTAAACATCACAGGTCACATGTCGGATCTAACTATCACCTCATAGTTCTCCTTTAAGCTTTATATAACCAAATAGCCCATATAGGGTTTCTAACACTTCAAATACACACTGTACAATAGTACAAACTGTACAAAACATCATTTTTTGGCACTTCTTTATTACGTGGATACAATCTCTTCTACTTGGTTACCTTTCAGCAATGTCAGCAGACGTGCAGCTGTGCTGGCACCAGACGCAACTTGCTGCACTCTGATTGCAAGAAGATGGAGTGCTGAACAACATGCAGGGGTCCGAGGGCACAGATAGAGTCACCATGCGTCCTAGAGCAACACCATTGAACCCGCCTGAGAGGTAAAGCCGGCTTCCAACCACAGCAACTGCGTGACCTATTGACTCGTTCACAGGCACACCCAGGACTACGTCTGAGAAAGACAAAGAAACATCTCAAAAATAAGAGGAGAGGAGAACGGCCAAAGTCTGTGTTGCCCAGAGCAGTCAGATTCCCTTTCCATACTCTACACCGAACTGGGAAATAAAAGAGGAGATCCTTGATTGTTGAGGGCAAGCAAATAAAAGTAACCTAGAACAAAACCTACAAGCTATAATATCAGTATCTCCCTCTTGTGAAATCCAAGTCTAAGGACGGACCACAGAGGCAGTCACACCTTTATCTGCAATTATAACTTTCTTGGTGTATTTCACAACCTTGTCTAATGTTATATTCTTTTGGCACAGCTACACAATTACTGCACATTAAGCACTGGATCTTGTTGGACACTAGCGAACAAAAATAATGCAGCTCCCATTTATGCCTTTTTTATTGTCACTCCGCCTGGAACCACAGCATGCTACGTCTCCTGTCTGCTCACCACCTTTCGAGGAGACCTTTCAGAAGACTGCAAAGAAGGTGCCCATGGGCTGCCACAAGTTTGACATCCCTGATCTACCTTCTAGAGCAGGGGTAGCAAACCTCCGGCCCCCCAGCTGTGGTGAAACTACAAATCCCATGATGAATCTCACTCGGGAGTCATGTCTGTGGCTGTGAGAAGCTTGCAATACCTCATGGGATTTGTAGTTCCATCACAGCTGGAGGGCCGGAGGTTTGCTACCCCTGTTCTAGAGACACTAAGCAAAGACTGAACAGTCCATGTCTTGTGCCAAGGTAAAGCCTATAGGGCAGACTACATTTCCTTCAAAAAAAAAAAAATGCTGGTGAAAAAAGGTCAACACCACCAGTACCGTAAAATAACTACCGTATTTTTTGCTCCATAAGATGAACTTTTTTCCCCCCAAAAGGCGGGCAACAATGTCTGTGCATCTTATGGAGCGAATGTGTGAGAGCTGAGGCGGCGGGGCTGACAGTGGAATTCCCATTGCCCGACGCCCGGGACATGCAGTTTCGGGCGCCGGGCGAGTAATTTTTTTTGTACAGTTAGCCCTGCTCCGGACAAGCAGAGCTAAAATGTATAGTGTGGAGCCGGAGCTCGTTTTCAAACAAGTGATCTCATTAGATCACTTGTATGAAAGGAGCAGCGGCGATCCTGTCCGGCCCCCCTCCGCTCCTCTGGGGGACCCGTGACCACTGCATAGGAGCTCACCATAGAGCCCGTAGAGCAGACGAAGAACGTCCGTTCTTCGTCTGCTCTGTGTGATCACTGACTGTGATCACAGCGCCACCTGTCTCAGCTATCAGGAACTACACAGAACTCTACACTCCCTAGGTGCTTCTTATGGTCAGGTGCACCCTATGGAGCGAAAAATACGGGGTATCAGTTATTCTACAAAAGGAAAAAACAAAAGGCCATAAAACTATTTCATTTATTAAAATTCCTAAACATGAATGAACAAGGTCCCTGTAATTTGTAAACAGCCATCTCACCAGTCCTGTTCGGTCTTATCCAGGAATTGCAATGGATCTGATAGAACAGAATCTCATTGCTGTACTCCTGCTGTTCTGTTCGTCCGCCCACTACGACCATGGTGTCCTTTAATACGGCAGCAACATGGAAGAAGTGTGAAAGAGGCTAACAAAACAAACAAAAAGGCAAAGGTAAGACAAATAAAAACCAGTGCTACCCAACAGCATGTTTGTAGTGACTGCAATACCTTTCTTCCCTGTGAAGGGGCGAGCAAGCTCCAAGTCAGGTTAGGATAATATAAACTGTAAAGCTCAGGAGAGGGCGTCACAGCCTCCACATGAAACCGATGTCCGCCAAACACATAGAAGGCATCGGTAGCTTCATGATACACAGTGGAATGACCATAGAGACCTAGGGGGAAAAAATGGATTTATTCAATAAAGTGTGTTCTAAATTTGGAACCAGGCCTCTACCCTAATCTATTCTCCACCCCCCATCTCTTCTACTATAAATATCTGTGGTCTGAAAGACATGCATCGTCAAGTAAAATGGAAGGCTGAAGTAACCAGGATAACTCAGTTGACCCCTACCTGGCCATGCTCCATGCCTTCTAGATCTTGGAGATCTGTGCAATTCCAGATCATGTGGTCACCATGATTAATCAAGCATGGTGGTCAGTCTGAAACGCAGACAGTTTGGTACTGTAGATGGAGGATTAGCATAGCATTGGTTATTAAGAAATGATATGCATTAAACATTTTTGTCCATTCTAGTGATTACACTAAAAAGATACATGCCTAGTATTTATTTAAAAAAAAATAAAACAGATATTAAAAGGAGAACTATGGGGTAAGTGTTTTCCCCCATAGTTCTCCTAAGGGTCATGGGAGGACATAAACTAGCGTCCTCCCGTGAACCAAAGCTCAGTATATCGCGAGCTGCAGCTCACGGTATACTGAGACCGCTGCAGCCGGGACGGATCCCGACATTACTGTCGAGATCCACCCAGCTGCGTGTGTGACAGCTGGCTCTGCCTATCTAGAGGCAGAGCCAGCTGTACCCGCCCCCTCCCCGTCCGTTCCTCCAGTCATCGCTGGCAGATCAGAGAGGGGTCATCCCTGCAGGGAGCCGTGAGTGACAGTCACGGCTCTCTGCAGGGATATGATCGAGAAGTGAGCGAGCGACGGTATGTGTTCCCCCACTTCCCAATCTATTGAGCCGACGTGTGACAGTTTCATTGTCGCACGTTGGCTCCAACCACTCACTCACCTCATAGTTCTCCTTTAATTTTCAGCTGTTTTGAAGTGTAGATCCAAGTGTCACTCAATAATATGCCACAAAGACTCACCAGTAGGTGGCGTGCCTGTATGGCGTCCCACTTTCCAGATCTCTAATTCAATGTTGTACTCCAACACACGATTATTGAAACCATTCTCAGGGGAATATCCACCAATCAATATTAAGGATGATCCACGACGTGAAGTGAGCGTGTGACCAGCCACTGATGGCAAGAGAGGATCCTGGGAAGAAAAGGTGCGTCACTGAGACTGCAGACAATAACATGCATTAGGCAGACTTGCAGTCTGTTTCACAAGACAACATTACTGCACTAAGTAAAAGGGAGATATGGAAGACAGAGAGGTTCCTCAAGTACTCACTGATTCTCTCCGCCATTGCAAAGTTGTGAGGTTCAACACCCAAAAGTCACTGTAGGCCCCATAACTTGTAAGCCCTCCCAGAACATACATGGCATTTCGAATGGAGTTATATGCAGCTGCATGGAAATATCGGGGACTTGGTCCTGGGCCTCCACCCTCGGTTCCAGCCAACATCTGCGTCCAGCGACGTTCAGAGACAGAGTACCTATTGCAGAAGAAAAAAATAGAAAGATAATGAGCAACTGCAGGCAACAAATGACAGCACTCAGTGAGCTAATTATACCGTCCAGTAAACACAGGAACTGTGAAAACTCAGCTTACCTTAATCTGATCTATATTATTTATAATGAAGAATGGATATCGCTATCTACTCTACATCGCTAAGTGGTTCCACAGCCTGCATTTTGTGGTGCATTCACACCATGTCCAGATCATCTCCAGAACAGACCAGATTGTTTCCGGACCCAAAATGCATCCTAATGCATCCCTATACTATTTATGGCCTCTGTTCACACCAGCGCAGTCCGCTCCAGACCAGACCAGAAAAATACTGCTTTTTATTTTGTCTGGTCCAGAATGTACTGGAACGCATAAAACCGCACTGAAGCGCACCTGTAAGACAATTTTAAGCTACAAGAAAAGAAAATTCCAAAAGCGGCAAAATTGCGGCAAAAACGCAGCACGTTCTGTTCCAGACCTGGTCCACAAAATGGTGTGAACCTGCCCTCAATGTGCAGCCTGCTGTAGGTTACTACGGTTGTATTGCTTAATGGAGCAGATATAGGAGGAGAGGCTGGTCACTTGACTGACAGGTCACGTGTCTTGGTTCTATTCCTAGTGCTGAAAGAATTCAAGTTCTGATCTCTGAGGATGCTGGTGATTTTCCAATCAACACTTTGAGGCTACACAACACCATCTATTCACCATCCACTGCAAGGACCACTAACAATAACCCTAAGGTTTAGAATGCTGTATGGAGCGCAGGTGATCTACAACAACACTATGGGTTCTCCTCCTGGCTCCCAGCCAGTAGAGTGCATAGCACATCCCTATGATTTTTAAATATGGCTTTTTTATTGAAGCAGTAGTATAGCTGTGGTAAGGTCACACCACTGATTCTTAAATAGCTGCCTATGTGTATCTCTTTCAGAACACACATAGCTTCATGGAGGGTCAGTGCAGTGTACCTCCTGGAGACTGTGCAGTCTAACGACTTCCCCGTTGTTTGGATTACCAAGGAAATTCACACTTCCACGGCCAATTCCAATATGATTGTTGGCTGTGAGAATCTTGTTAGCAATGGCTTTTTTCATCAAGATTTGTATGTACGAGGTGCAGCAAATAGAGTGCTCCGGCATCACCAACAGATGCCCTTTAGAAACACCAGATCACATATAAGAAAGTAGGGTGTACTTGTATAGTCCCAGAACTTCTGGATGAAAAACTGACCTACTTAGCAGATAGCCTATTGCTCTGTAGGCATCCCAATGTTTATTTTTAGTTTTGATGTTAGACAGACATTAAACAAAATCTAGAAAAAGACCCAACTGTCCAAACAGCAATTGGTCAATATAACTAAGGGCCTATTCACACCAAATCATCTCCAGACCAGACCAGATCGTTTCCGGACCCAAAATGCATCCTAACGTATCCCTATGCTATTTCTGGCCTCTGTTCACACCAGCGCAGTCCGTTCCGGACTAGACCAGAAAAATACTGCTTGTCTCAGTTTGTCTGGTCTGGAATGCACTGGAACTGTGGGCAGGTTCACACCATATCTGGTCCGGAAAATGGTGTGAACCTGCCCTAAGAGCAGCTGATAATGTGAGCAAGCAAAAGAAATACAAAGTTGCAGATTACCTATAAACACTGCCCAGCACTCCATCCCGTAAAGACAAGCCCCCAAACATCCAGAGAGTATTATCTGGCCCTTCCAGCATAGTATGTCCAAGGCGGTGCAGAAAACGGCTTGCTGAATCCTAAAAGAGAGATGATGCGGTCAGTGACTACTGCCACTCTATGGACACCACTGAATTCTGAAATGGTCTCCACTTACTGCTGTGAGTTGAGGATCCATGAGACTTTCCCAAACAATCTTTCCAGAGTCTAGATAGACTGAACAGTCATCTCCAGCATAACCAGGAGAACAGAAACATACGCCAAGAGTCTGTAGAGACACAAAGTACCATTACAAAAAAGCACTGTTAAGAGTGGACCATCCATCATGAAGATTGAGAACATTCTGGGTCCATCACATGTCCACAACAGAAATAGAACAGTCCTGAACTTGTATTGTAAGGCAATGCATGGGGTCTCTTGCCCAATCATTGCATAATCTCTCACCTGGTTACAGACTCCTCTGCCAACTTCAGCGGAGCAGTTTCGGGGACAGACATTACGCAGGCAGTAAGGACCGGACAGGGGGCTTTTGCAGACGCAGCTCTGTCCCCGGCACACTTTATTGGGTTCACAAGGCGGATAACACTCATGCACAGTGTAGGTGGCATTAAAGCCAGAGGGCTCTGTGTTATTTGCTTCATAATACACCACAAGGATCCCTAGAAAACAAAAAATACGTAGAAAGGCATTATAAATATGTATTGTTAAAGGAGAACTATGAGGTGACTGATTTTCACTCATCCTCATAGTTCGAGCCTACGTGTGGCAACGAAACTGTCCCACGTCGGCTCAATAGATTGAGAAGTGAGCGAACGCATACCGTCGCTCGTTCACTTCTTGATTATGTCCCTGCAGAGAGCCGTGACTGTCACTCACGGCTCCCTGCAGGCATTCCCCTCCTCCCCTGTCCGATCCTCCAGCAGTGACTGGCTGAACGGACGGGGGAGGGGGCAGGTACAGCTGGCTGTGCCTCTAGATAGGCAGAGCCAGCTGTCACTCACACAGCTGGGTGGATCTCGACAGTAATGTCAGGATCTGTCCCGGCTGCGGCGGTCTCAGGATACCGCGAGCTGTAGCTCGCGATATACTGAGCTTTGGGTCATGGGAGGACACTAGTTTATGTCCTCCTATGACCCTTAGGAGAATTATGGGGGAAAACCACTTACATCGTAGTTCTCCTTTAATATTACAGGGTATTTCTGTCATCATAATATCGAGTACCCCTATTCTGCATTAGAGGAAACCTGTACAGAGAGAAATAAGGGGGTACTTGCAAGTGCCTGTACTTCAACGCCGTTGCTACTACAGAGGTGTATTAGCCAGGACAGGTTCACTTTAAATGTAAAAGGACAATGTCCAAGTAGTCTAGAGTGGCAAAGGGTTAGTATTTTGGATGCTGCGCAAACTGTTGGCGCTATATAAATGCTGTATAATAATAATAAATGGACTGAATCAGGTCTGATCAGGAATTAAGTTCAATCTGATTATATTTTGCATTTCTTGGTTCATCCTTTCCCCCTCTATCAACATGCTAAAGGACATTTTAAATAAAACCTGCTATGGCAGATACTGTGAACGGTGTATGTCTACATGAACGCATGTTGGTGGCTGTTTGTGCATGTAATGGGTTAACTGCAGAGACAGCTACTCGAAGTCTGCTGGTGCTTGGGTTGTTTTCCTAGGAGCTGGAAATTTTCTGCAATACATTACATGCACATAGACATTTCTGCATGTGATTATTGAGCACTGATCTGTACCTGTATTTGCCTCCACAGTCAGTGGTGCTTCACCTCGTCCTCGTCCACAGAAAGCTCCCAGCAAGCTGCGATCCGATTGCAGGAGCCCTGTATCCAGGAAAGCCGGATTCCCATCAAACACATAGACATAGCTATGCTGTAAAGAGAGGAATACAGAAATGACCTAAAAACACCAAAGAGTAAATCTATCTGCTTAGCAGCAGAAGCCAAAATACTGCATCTTAATTCCTAAACTACCACTGACAGCCAGTACAAAACAGCCTTCAGGTAGGAGCAGCAGTTTCAGGGGGCACATTTACTAGCTGATGCTATTAAACAGAAAGGAGCTCAGAAGACAGCCGAGTAAGTCACATAACAAGAACGCAGCCCCTCTCTTTTCACCTAGCAGGGATGAGACCATCTTGCTTGGTCAGTTATGCACAGGGTGTCCAAAGGGCCAGTGCTGGGCCAGCTATATGTCATGGAGGCACCATGTATCAAATGTGTTCAAGTAAAGTAAAATTGTGAATAAAAAGTATATACATTTTTAGTTTGCAAACATGAAAAAAATAAAATAAAGGTGACCCAAAAACACAGCATGCTTTTCCTTTACAGTCAGAGAACAATATGGGTTACCGTGCAGGGGATATTGAAGTCTGGCTGGAGACTGAAGCTAAGCCTTGGGCAGCTGTCATCTGGGTGACAGGGTTCCACCTGAGAAGATACATTCAGTACCCACAGACAGTATGAGCCGCCAGGCGAGCCAAGAGCGGAGGAAGACACGTTGGTGAGCAGCTGGCGGCCCTGGCATTCAAGGTAACAAATCCCACCATTCCTATGTAAACAGAAGCAGTAAGAAAGTATTAAACAAACCTGCAATTGAGTTCCATATTGATTACAGGAAAGCAAGGTTTGCTAGAAATACATATATCACATCAAAATGAGGTTAAATCACAACTCCAGCCAAACTAACTTTTTTGAATTGACTTAAAACAACTGTTTTGGAGGACTAAAAACAACTGTCCAGATTTTTAAGGTCCATAAGATCTCAGCTCACTTCTTGTCATTAAAACAGCAGGACAAGAGATTAAAGGAGTGATTGTGAATGGGACAGCTAGACACATACAGCAATCATATTGTGACTGAAGAGTGTGAAGTACAGGCGTGGTCTGTGAAGAATTCCCAATCACTTGGCAGGTTTTGCAGTAAAGATGGTATAAAGGTTTAAATGGAGTATTCAGACTGTTCACCTGGAGTTAAGCTTTTAATACACATGCATTTGTACCCTAGAATCAAGCATAAACAGAAGCAGTAAGAAAGTATTAAACAAACCTGCAATTGAGTTCCATATTGATTACAGGAAAGCAAGGTTTGCTAGAAATACATATATCACATCAAAATGAGGTTAAATCACAACTCCAGCCAAACTAACTTTTTTGAATTGACTTAAAACAACTGTTTTGGAGGACTAAAAACAACTGTCCAGATTTTTAAGGTCCATAAGATCTCAGCTCACTTCTTGTCATTAAAACAGCAGGACAAGAGATTAAAGGAGTGATTGTGAATGGGACAGCTAGACACATACAGCAATCATATTGTGACTGAAGAGTGTGAAGTACAGGCGTGGTCTGTGAAGAATTCCCAATCACTTGGCAGGTTTTGCAGTAAAGATGGTATAAAGGTTTAAATGGAGTATTCAGACTGTTCACCTGGAGTTAAGCTTTTAATACACATGCATTTGTACCCTAGAATCAAGCAGAGCCCCTCCCCCCCCCCACCTCCTCTTTTTACAGAGCACAGTAACAGATCTTGCATGGCATGCCTCAACGTACCTGGGGTCTCCATAATACCCAGGTGCACACTTCTCGCAGTGTTCTCCCTGAGTGTTGTCTGTACAGTAACAAACACCCGTCTCTCGGTCACAATAACCCAATTCAGGGGTCCCGTGTTTGTGGCAGGCACATTCCTGGCACCCCGGCTTCTGTGTGGCGCTTCCAAAGCTGCCAGGCTGGCACTCCTGGCAATATACCCCTTGTGTCCAATCTGTAGAAGGATTGCAAACACACATCATACTAAAGCATTATAATAAACCCCTTTATCTTACATTGCAATGTCTCTCTGATTTAATGTTTAAACTGATTAGTAACTACTCAACGTTTGCATGGAGTTTGTATGTTCTGCAGACATTTGTGTACTTTTCCTCCAGGTTCTATGCTTTCCTTTCACACTCCTAAAAACCTACAAGATAGGATAACCTGCTTTTTCCCCCCACAATGGCTCTAGAGTGCCTATAGCACGGATGGCTCGGATGAGGGCCCTAAGGAGCAAGTGCTCATGTGAACTGTTCTATATAGTCTGTAAGGTCCTATATCAAAGTGATATAATAAAAAAAATGGATTACATAGTTACATAGTATTTGAGGTTGAATAAAGACACAGGTCCATCAAGTTCAACCTTTACGTGTAAGTGTGCGTAGTGCGTGCATGTGTATATAAGGGTACCCCTGTATGTTACGGTCTCTGAGGAAGGTATCCAATTGATTTTTGAATGATTCAATACTCTCTGCCGATACTACTGCCTATGGCAGAGAGTTCCCAAATGTAACCACTCTGACTGAAAAGAAGCCCCTACGCCCTATGCAGTTAAATATTTTCTCCACCAATTTTAGGTGGGCGCCTCTAATCCTTGTTAGGGAGTTTAGAGTAAAAAGTTCATTGCTGATGTTGCCATCACCACCAAACATTTTGTACCTTAAAATAATGTCCCCTCTTAATCTCCTCACTTCCAGCGTGAACAAGTCTAAATCTAGTAACCTTGTCTCATAGCTTTAATCCTCCAGGCCCTTAAATCAGTTTCATTGCCCTTCTCTGGACTATCTCCATCTCCAGGACATCCTTTCTGTGGATTAGTGAACACAAAGTTTCTACAAGGTGATATATACAGTAGTAGTCAGGGGATGCCTGGAAACACTCATATGGTTTAGGTATTCTGGATATCCTAATCACAGACAATTGTCCCGTTACTATATAGTAGCAGCCCAGTGAGAGGATTGACAGTATTGTGTATGAGTCCTTTTTTTTTTTTTAATAGGTTTCCATTTTAAAAGCAATTTAAAAAAAAAAAAGGTCTCCAATAATCCAGATGTGCTTTTATTATTCAAAAAGTTTTGCTTCTCAAGTAAATTATATTAGAGCTAATAATGGCCACCATACATTCTTCCTCCCTGTCTGTAGCTCAGATCAAATACATTTCTATTCTGTCCAGCCAGCAGCCACCCTGCTCTCTGATCACACTTTAGGTATACAGTATGTAAACCCCAACAATGAACTTCTCTAATATGCCATATTTTGGTCTGCTAAATATACCATTAGGACCTCTAAGAATAAGCCTACGGGTGAAACATGTAAGAGGTTGTAGCTGGTTGGAGGTTTGCGGTGCTGAATTGGAGACGTGTTCTCTGGAGTGACCAATCACGCTTCTCTGTCTGGCAATCCGATGGACGTGTCTGGGTTTGGCGGTTGCCAGGAGAACGGTACTTGCCTGACTGCATTGTGCCAAGTGTAAAGTTTGGTGGAGGCGGGATTATGGTGTGGGGTTGGTTTTCAGGGGTTGGGCTTGGCCCCTTAGTTCCAGCGAAGGGAACATTTTGGACAATTGCATGCTCCTAACTTTGTGGGAACAGTTTGGGGATGGCTCCTTTTTGTTCCAACATGACTGCACACCAGTGCACAAAGCAAGGTCCATAAAGACATGGATGAGGGAGTTTGGGGTGGAGGAACTTGACTGGCCTGCACCGAGTCCTGACCTCAACCCAATAGAACACCTTTGGGATGGATTAGATCGGAGACTGCGAGCCCGGCCTTCTCGTCCAACATCAGTACCTGACCTCACAAATGGTCCAACATTCCCATAGACACACTCCTAAACCTTGTGGACGCCTTCCCAGAAGAGTTGAAGCTGGTATAGCGGCAAAGGGCGGGCCAACTCAATATTGAACCCTGCGGACTAAGACTGGGATGCCATTAAAGTTCATGTGCGTGTAAAGGCATCCCAATACTTTTAGCAATATAGTGTATATAATTCAGCATACCACACACCATGCAGTGCCTTCACTCACCCTGGCAGACATCGCAGATGCCTGGTCCATGAGCGCAGGTACTGTGGAAGTTACACCCGCAGTCCACGCTACATTCCACTCCACTCTCTGTCACCGTTGTGCGGTTCGAAGTCCATCCGAGATCACAGAGACAGGCGTAAAATGGAGGCCCACTGCAAGAGCCATGGGAGCACTCATTGTAACACCTTGTAAGCAAGCAGAAAAAAAAATGCATTGTTAAATTTATAAGAGGTAAATGTAGCAATTTAAAAGTACAAATAAAACCGGTGTCCCTTAGGCTGGGTTCACACCTTGGTGTTTTATGTATGCGCGTTTTACGCGTGTTTTGTACCGACGTTTTTCAGGCGTATTGTGAAGCGTTTTTGCATATTAGAAAACAATTAAAAGTAGAATTCCAGAAAGGTCGATTTTTGGGGCTAAAATAAGCTTGCGTACAATGAAGTTCAGATCTTTCTGCTACACAGTGCATTTAAATGCAGACATGGCCAGGTAGCTCTTTATATGGCACATTATCTACCTGCTCCATCTTTAGTGCTCCTTACCTTTCTATAGGAAAAACAGCAGTTTTAGCAGTATCAGTTCACAGGAACCAGTACCAACCATGTGGACGTGGAACCCATGTGCATTAACAGCTAAAGGAGACGTGCCCTGCAGAGGATGCCATCTGATCAAACACAGAAGATGATGGAAACAACATCTACAGAACTTACCCTATACTGCGGTGATGTCACAAGTTTAAAATTATCTTTTTATTTCACACTATACTTCCAGCCCACAATATGGCCAGCTCCATTATGCAGTGGCAGAGGGATCTACTGGCATCATCACCAAGCGTAAAAAGCCTTTATTGTTGTTTTAAACAAAATCAAAATGAAAGCGATCCCCCTTCCTCACAACTATTTGGGAACATGTCTTCTTTATTAAAAAAAGGTAGAATATCACCTACAATGAACACAAATAGAACTTGAGGCATCAGGAGCAAGACCATGGTACCTCTCAAGATCTCGTCTTCCATGAGTGACAGGTAATAGTAAATATTGGATTTTTATTTCTTGCACTTACATATGTTATGAAAAAAAAGTTACTTTCGAATTATAATGACATTTTTTTTAAAATAATAAATGAGCTCACGTTTGATTGCAGTGGGTGACGCCATCTCCCGTATATCCGCGGTCACAGTGACACTCATAGGAGTCGGGCGTGTTTCTGCAGGTGGCATGTTTGTGACAGGTGGCCATCCCCAGCCGGCACTCATCGACATCTGGGCAGGAAGCATATGACCACTGAGCCGGCTCTTCTGGGAGTCCAGCCAGTGTCAGAGCCCTGGAACACGAAGAGAAACCCCGGACGCCAGAGTAGTCACCAGAGAAGCACCTGGGGAGGAAAGAAGAACTTGAGAGAGCAGCTGATTGAACTGCAATAGTACTTTGGTGACCGTGAGGAACACAGAGAGACATTCAACAGAAAGTCTACCAGGAACAGATCATTTCTGGGTTCTTCAGGACTCTGCAGAGAGACAACCTCCACCCTACAGTAGTAACAACAAATCTTTCTGCCTTCAATGTGCAATATGGCAAATGTGATAAAGCGCTGCGCAAACTGTTGGCGCTATATAAATCCGGTATAATAATAATAATGGGATACGTATTGGGATTTTATACACCATGTAAACATCTTGGAATTTAGAATTGATTCAGTAATGGTTGAATATTTTTATTTAATACAAGCTAAACAACACATGCTTACCTATATGCTTTAGGGTGTATTTAAATGTTTTTTAACCCCTTTATGACTGAACTCTTTTTCAGTTTCCGTTCGTTAAGGACTGACGCACTTTTTAAAATTTTTTCTGTGTGATTCTTCCACTTTCTTACAAAGTGCACCCGCACATATTCTATATTGTTTTTTAGAGGACAGATAGGGCTATATATTTATTAGGGATGCACCGATACCGGTATTTCGGACGCCAGGCGGAGTGTAATGACTCGCCACCTGGCTTCCTGATTAGCCGGGAAGCCGTGCGGCGTGGAAGGGAAGCCATCTCCATGCTCCCTCGTCACCAGGTGGCGAGGAAACATGGAACCGACTTTCTGGCCAATCAGCAAGCCGAGCAACGAGTCATTACCCATTACCCAGAAGCCAGCTCCATGCTCCCTCCCCCACCAGGTGACGAGGGAGAATGAAGCCGGCTTTCTGGCTAATCAGAAAGCAGTGGGGTGGGTAATGACTCGCCGTCCGGCTTCCTGATTGGTCGGGAAGCTGGTCAATCAGGAAGCTAGGCAGCGAGTCATTACATGCTGCCCGCCTTCTTGATTGGCTGGGATGCTGGCTCCATGCTCCCTCATCAAGTGACGAGGGAGCATGGAGCCAGCATCCCAGCCAATCAAGAAGGCGGGCAGCATGTAATGACTCGCTGCCTGGCTTCCCGATACCAGAAGCTCTGGTATCGGGCTAGGAATCGGAGCATTTGGGCGCGTAGGGCGCGTACTCACCCAAATACTCGGCATCGGCACCAATACTAGTGTCGGTATCGGTGCATCCCTAATATTTATATTGCATATGTGTGCCTAACGCATCACTTAGTATGAATAAACTATAAAAAAGAGGAACAAACATAAAGAAAAACACTATTCCCCCAGTTTTAATTATTATTTTTTTTAGAAAACTACCACAGCTAAAAAAAAAAAAAAAATGCATTAAAATAAAATCCTGTATTTGTTCTTTATTTGGAAACACCTCCCACGTCTGGACTGAAGGCAAAAAGAGAACAAAGGGAGCGCCACAGCCTAGCGCATTAACTGGGTAATGATGGGGTTAATAGGGAATAACAAAATTACACACACAAGAGGAGACAAAGTATCAGTTGTACAAGGAGACAATTCTGGATACAATGGGGGAATGTATCAAAACGGGAGCGGACAGATTCTGAAGCAGTTGCTCATAGCAACCAATCACCATCTTCCTTCAGTTTGCTCAGGGAAGATTTGAAAACGAGACAGAGAAGCCGATTGGTTGCAGTATTTTCCTGGATCTTCTTTCAACTGTTGTGTGTGGCTTCTACCGAGTGTACAACTAGGTGACAGAAGGAAGGCTTTGGCTAGTAACAAGAAGGAGAAAAGACCAGAAGGCTGATGGCGCACAAATCCATGGCATGGAAATAAAGATAAAGATAAGAATGCACTCACAGCAGTCATTCCTGAGGCTGGGAGCTGACAGATCTTGTCACAGATGCCGGAGGTTCTGCAATCTGCTCTCTCTGCTCAAGTGCTGCAGCTGAGCACGTCAGGGGGAGGCTAGAAAGTCGGTCCAGTTTAACTATCCGCTCACTGAACTGTCCCTGTAGCCGATAGGGAGTCCAGGGAGGACTGAAAGTGATCAATTGTCGAAAACTGCCTAAATCTTGCATTAGGGCCTGTTCACACCATATGCAGTCCGTCCCAGCCACGTGTTGGCCGGAACGCACTGCATCGCATTGCGGCTGGCTCAGTATTTCGTGGGGCCGGAGGGGGCGTGGCTGGCCATTGAAGTGAATAGCGCCGTAGCCACGCCCTCCGGCCGCAATACAATCGCCTGCACAGGATCACAAGGCCCATTGTGCCATGTGGTCCGGTGCAGTCAAAATGCTGCACTTCAAAGGCCAGCCATGCCCCCTCCAGCCCCACGAAATACTGAGCCGGTCGCAATGCGATGCAGTGCGTTCCGGCTGGATATGGTGTGAACTATATGGTGTGAACAGGCCCTTAATGGATGCCTAGTTAGTGAGGCATCCATTAACCACTTGAAGAGCAGGTTGTTAAACCCCTTTCCAGTCCAGGCCATTTTTCAGCGCTGCAGTACTTTGACTGGCATTTATTCCGTCACGCAGCGCTGTACTGAAATGAATTTTATACCATTTTTTGGGGACAGACAGAGCTTTCTTTTGGTGGCATTTAATCACCACTGCGGTTTTCATTTTTTACTATACAACATAAAAAGTACCCTAACTTTTGAAAAAAAACCTGATTCCCTATGAAATGTTATGAATCAGTTATTAATCAACCCAATTTTTTTGTAAAATATAAAAAAGGCGGGGTCACGTCGGGTAACTAGACACCAAACATGTCAAGCTTTAAAATTGTGTGCGCCCGCTCATCCTCATAGTTAGAGCCAACCTGTGACAAAGAAGCTGTCACAGGTCAGCTCTAGCGATCGTAAAGTGAGCAGAAACATGCACGATCGTATCCCTGCAGGGAGCCGTGCCAGTGAGTCACGGCTCCCTGCAGGGATTCCCCCCCTCACCGATCCTCCAGCACTCACTGGCGGAACGGACGCGGGAGGTGGTGGGCACAGTTGGCCCTGCCTCTAGATAGGCAGAGCCAGCTGTCGCTCACGCAGCTGGGTGGATCTCGACAGTAATGTCGGCATCCGTCCCGGCTGCGGCGTTCACAGTATATCACGGGCAATAGCCCGCGATATACTGAACTTTGGGTCACGGGAGGACGCTAGTATATGTCCTCCCGTGACCCTAAAGAGAACTATAGGGAAAAACACTTACCCCATAGTTCTCTTTTAATGAAGGGTAACCGCTGATCTCAGCGGTTACAGGCATTCGGGAGCCCTGAAAAGCAGTGTACGTGAGCAGTCATTCGGGCACTTAGTGGCGGGGACGTACAGTGTACATCTCCTGTCACAAAGGGGTTCAGTTGGTTGAAGCCTCCTAGTTGTAAAACAAAACAAGACAATACAATTGTATAGATCTAATTGTATAGCATGTGCCCTGCTTTTCCAGCTTTGAAGTGACCTAATATAACATGTACATTATCTTACCGCCCTAAGGTTGGGTTGTCAGTGTTCCCGCACCAGCCGCATTCAAAGTTTTGCAGACACTCCCGGCAGGTGTTAAACCTGGAGCAATCCATAACCTGGGGCACAGAGTGGACACTGCAGAAGAGGGAGACATAGGCATGGAATTTAATGAAAAACATGACAGTGTGCAGAAAAATAAAAAAAACTGCATATATTGCATATCAGAGAAATATTTATAACATTTTTCCTCCGTTGACCTATTCAATACATAATAAATAACACATAAAGCAGGGTTGGACAAATGCATATGGAATTAAGGAGCCAGTCGTCCAATCCTGGAGCCAGCAGGATTTTATTTCTTTTGTTTAGGAGCCAGCTCTATTGAAAACCATTAGAAAAACCCTCAAAAGTTAGGCGCCAGCTGTGATTAGGGCACGTTGGCTACCTGGCTCCTGGGATTTGTGCAGCACTAAGATAAATTAAGTAGTACTAAGGAAAAACTGGCTTATCAGTGGCTGCCAGGAGGGACATAGAGCCTGCCAATGATGGCCACTTCTTTACAATATGCTAGCTGCTTGGCTGCTACGTGGACCCTCCACCTTCATTACTTCGAGTCACCTGTCCTGGAATATGTAGATAAGGTATTTTGACCTTTCTCCAGCTTTCTTGATCTGCATACATGTTACTTGTCATTGGCTTAGACGGTAATAAAGCATAACAGCCAGACAATTAGCGTTTTCAGAAGCAGCATCCATATTTTACGAATGACAGGTTTTAATTTAAGACGACCTATAGAACATTCAGCAACGAGTATGAATAGCTCTTTGCCTCATTTGTGGTGCTTTATTGTTTAGCACCAACCACCTTGCTGCAGAAATGGGAATTGGGATATTCCAATTGTACACAGGTCAATGGTTCCAACATGATCGCTTTAGCAGTTTAAAAGGAGAACTATGGGGTAATTTTTTTTCCCCATAGTTCTCCTCAGGGTCACGGGAGGAAATAAACTAGGGTCCTCCCATGACCCAAAGTTCAGTATACTCGCGGTATACTGAGATAGCCGCAGCCGGGACCTATGATCCAGACATTACTGTCGGGATCCAGCCAGCAGCGTGATTTACAGCCTATCTAGAGGCAGAGCCAGCTGTACCAGCCCCCTCCCCTGTTTGTACCTCCAGTCAGCGCTGGAGGATCGGAGCGGGGATCCCTGCAGGGAGCCGTGAGTGACAGTCACAGCTCTCTGCAGGGACAGGATCGAGAAGTGAGCGAGTGACGGTATGTGTTCGCTCACTTTCCGATCTATTGAGCCGACGTGCGACAGTTTCATTGTCACACGTCGGCTTGAACTATGAGATCGAGTGAAAATCACTCACCTCATAGTTCTCCTTTAAAGCGCAATGAGGCCTAAACTTTATACATGGCTGTAGCAGACGGGACCCTTTTACGATATATGTGCACATCATGAAATCAATAACATTTCTACATCTGCCCCAAAGTGTTCAGCCATTGTGGAGCAAGCGTACAGAGTCCTCAACTAACATTCAGAGAGGGTCAATGCGCTTCTACCCAGTCTCGGTGGTAGAAGAGATCAGCTGAACTTTTGTGCCTTTAAGATATTGTGCGCAATTAATATAATACAAATGACAAATGGCAGTCATTTTGGGGTTTTATTTTTGGAGACTGGATCTTTGAAACAAAACTCTAAACAAATAACGCTGTATAATCTAGTTATAGCTTAATTAAATATAAAATGCTAGGTAGGCTTATTAAGTAGACGTAGTTAGTGCCAGATTTTCCACAAAGCCAACTGAGGGAGCAGAGGGGCGGCAGGGACTCCTATTGTAGTCGTTTAGTTGTTTTGTACATTTAGCCCTGCTTTGGGCAAGCAGAGCTAAAATCTACAGCCCCCCCTCCCCGCCGCCTACCTCTCCCCCACCGGACGGAGATCCTCTCTTCAGGATGGAGAGCGGGGGGCAGAGCAGAGAACATTTGCTCTCCACTCTGTGTAAACAGTGAGGGGAGAGCTGCACTGGCAACCGTCCCATCTCAGCTGTCAAAGGAGAGCCAGCACAGTGCTGTGCTAGAACTCCTGTATTGGAGGTGACAGGTTCAATAAAGAGAACCTGTCACCTCCAAATGCTATCACACAGGTGTTTGTTAGCTCCTGTGTGATAGCAATAAAGTTAAGTAAAAAATAAATAAAAGTAAAAGATCTTTTTTTAATAAATGATAAAATAAATAAAAATTAAGAAAAATAAGTAAAGAATAATAATTAAGATACAAAATTAAGAGGTGATGGTTATTTCACCCCCCTTGGATAAATGTTTAATTGCCTTTGTTCACTTGCATTCTGGATGCAGATGGAGTGTAACATTTGATGATACAGAAAGAAGGAGACTATCCCACTTTATCTCAATGTTTCCTTCTGTCTCTATATTGCTTTGAATCGAGCAATGTTTATACGTATTGGCTTGTTTGCTTTCCTTTATTACTTGTCTTATTTCTTGATTGTTTCGTTTTTATATGGTAAAATCTTTAAATAAAGAATATACAAAAAAATAAAAATTAAGGAGGTGATAAAGTAAAAAAAATAACAAGATAAAAAAAATTATAAAAAAGAAAAAAATAAGAATAAAAAAAAGAAGATAAAAAAGTTAAAAGATAATAAGATAAATAAAATGTAAAAAAACTAAATTAAAACTAACCCTGCCTCCCCCACCTATGGGAGGGGGGCGCATAGAGGAACCTGGGCTTGGGCAGCAGAGAGAGTAAATACGGCCCTGGCTGTAGTACACTGACACTACACAATGCATTGTTACATACCTGTCGTACCAGTCCCTGCAGTCGCCATAAGGATACTTTGCCAGGTAAGCGGCAAAATAAAAGCAGCTTTCAGTAGACTGGCACCATGCACAGTGACTGGAATTAGAGAGACATTCAGTGTATGTCCTGCGCCTGAAAGAGATACACAACTATCAAGAAAAACCCAAAATATAAATACATCAAACGACTGGTGCAAAGAACTCGGACATTCTTCAGCCATCTTTTAGACACACGCTCTTTAAATTCAACAGCAACTAGAGGACATAAATAACTTTAGCCATATACATCAGACTGGGACAGGAGAGGGATAAATTAAAGCAAGCCTTTGCTTTGACCCTGCTAGGCAAATAAATATGTGCTTTAAAGGATCAGTAAAGCCTTGTATGTTTTTGCATATATCTACTGCTAGCAAGCAGTATATACACTATATTGCCAAAAGTATATACACACATGAACTTTAATGGCATCCCAGTCTTAGTCCGCAGGGTTCAATATTGAGTTGGCTCCGCCCTTTGCCGCTATAACAGCTTCAACTCTTCTGGGAAGGCGTCCACAAGGTTTAGGAGTGTGTCTATGGGAATGTTGGAGGTCAGGTACTGATGTTGGACGAGAAGGCCGGGCACGCAGCCTCCGCTCTAATTCATCCCAAAGGTGTTCTATCGGGTTGAGGTCAGGACTCTGTGCAGCCAGTCAAGTTCCTCCACCCCAAACTCACTCATCCATGTCTTTATGGGCCTTGCTTTGTGCACTGGTGCGCAATCATGCTGGAACAGGAAGGGGCCATCTCAAAACTTTTCCCACAAAGTTGGGAGCATGAAATTGTCCAAAATGTCTTGGTATGCTGATGCCTTAAAGAGAGTTCCCTTCACTGGAACTAAGGGGCCAAGCCCAAACCCTGAAAAACAAGCCCACACCATAATCCCCCATCCACCAAACTTTACACTTGGCACAATGCAGTCAGGCAAGTACCGTTCTCCTGGCAACCGCCAAACCCAGACACGTCCATCGGATTGCCAGACAGAGAAGCGTGATTTGTCACTCCAGAGAAAACATCTCCACTTCTCTAGAGTCCAGTGGCGGCGCGCTTTACACCACGGCATCCGACGCTTTGCACTTGGTGATGGAAGGCTTGGATGCAGCTGCTCGGCCATGGAAACCCATTCCATGAAGCTCTCTACGCACTGTTGTTGTGCCAATCTGAAGGCCACATGAAGTTTGGAATTCTGTAGCTATTGACCCTGCAGACAGTTGGCGACTTCTGCGCACTGTGCGCTTCAGCATGCGCTGATCCCGCTCTGTCATTTCACGTGGCCTACCACTTTGTGGCTGAGTTGCTGTTGTTCCCAGTTGCTTCCACTTTGTTATAATACCACTAACAGGTGACCGTGGAATATTTAGTAGCAAGGAAATTTCACGGATGGACTTATTGCACAGGTGGCAACCTATCACGGTACCACACTTGAATTCACTGAGCTCCTGAGAGCGACCCATTCCTTCACAAATGTTTGTAGAAGCGTCTGCATGCCGAGGTGCTTGATTTTATACACCGGTGACCATGGAGGTGATTAAAACAGTGGAATCCAATGATTTGGAGGGGTGTCCCAATACTTTTGTGTATATGCAAAAACATTTTAAAAAAAAAGTTGAAAAAGGGTTAAAACTTACCTGCGTCTCTGCCGTGCGCTCCTGTCAGAAGATCTGAAGAAAAAGATCATGGGGTGGGAGCATGCGCAGTACAGATCTTCAGCCGGGTGCAGAGGAGAGACACAAGGTAAGTTAAAGTGACATTAAACCCTCAGTTTTTTTAACATAAAACAATACTGTAATGTGTGCCTTACTGTAATCCGTGGTTGTTTCCCTTCTCTTTGCTGCTCTTCCTTTTAAATCTGTATCTGTTCTCATGTTCTGCAGAACTTCTGTTTTGCAGCAGACTGCCTTGTCTCAGGAATGGATACACGGTGTCTGTGTATACGTTTCTATAGACTTTTAACCTGAGCCAGCACTACAGGAAGAGGCCCTGACCTGCAAAGGGAAGTTCTCCCCAAGCATGAGAAGACATGAGGATTTAAAAGGAAGAGCAGCAAAGAGAAGGGAAACAACCATGGATTACAGTAAGGCACACATTACAGTATTGGTTTATGTTAAAAAATCTGAGGGTTTAATGTCACTTTAATGCAGGCAGCGTGCACCCGCACGGACTCTGTGGGACAGGAAGTGCCAGGAAGAGAGAGGAAGTTAGCGCTGGATCAAAGACCGGCACCAGCGCTGGAGGGACTCCTGAAAACTACAGGAAAGAAGATGGTTGGATCAAGAGGCATCATTTAAGCGAAGTCCGTACACTAGCATTGGGGGGGAATTTGCCTTTAATGTCACTTTAATATCTCTTTCCCCTGTAGCAAAGCCAAGGTGAATATGTGCTGCAGGGGAGGGGGACACTAAAGAAAACCTACAGTTCTGCTTCATCCTAAGGTGTCTTTTAACAGCCAATGTTCAGAGTTCATCTTGCATTAAGCCTAGATACTATGTCCGCTCCCTACATATTGCACGGCTCTAATTGGCCATTCCCCGGCCCATACAAGGTGGCATAACAACTGCTGAACAGCAGAAAGTGTGCGATGGTTTGGAATCTTACAGGACTAATTTTCAATGAGGGGGTTCCAGAACTACCAAAGCGTACTGGTAACAGGGAGCTGACTGGCAAGTGAATGGAAGTAAAACGTGTCCTACTCTAGCAGCTCTGTAACCTGATGGACCAGCAGGAGGACAACACTACTGATACCAATATAGAAACAAAGTACTTTGTAAAAAGGACTCACCGATTGCACGCACGGGGACATTCCTGGGGTGATCGTATAGAACCATTCACTCTTCCTCTGCGGCTGCACAGAGAGTCTGCTTTCTTGCTGCTGTGTATCTGCCACTCACAGTACTGGTCCTGGGAGCACAACAACAATGATATGATTATCTTTCCATCACCACCAAGACACTCCACTTGCTGATGCATATCTCGGCACTTACATTGCTGCAGGCCTCACAGTCGCGGTACTCCTCGCACAATTGACAGTGGCTAGGGGTCAGGATCAGGGGTGTGTCTTGACAGAATTTTGCCCAATCCACACCTAATCTGTAGTGACACGTGCGGGTCCTAGAGCACCAACCGCAGCTTTGATCTGCCAAGCAGGCCAAGCAGGAAAGGTAGGAACAGTCATCTGAGCGATGGGGTTCCAGGAACAGGAAAGAAATCTCCTAGAAAGCAGGTACAAAGAAGTGAAAAGGGATTTAATAAAAAAAGAATGCAAAGAAACTGAAGTTTTGTCTTCTCGTTCAGGGGGTATAGCCCCCACATTTATTATTGGACTTTCTTTCATGATAGGCTTACTTTAAAGTCAGAAGGTTTAATGCAATGTAATTTGATATAATAAAGCAGGAGAACAGAAACGCCTTATATTGCTGTCTCATAGATATGGGAGTAATAGATGTGTATGTTGGGTGAAGGAAGGGTCACCCTTAGAACTGACTATTCATATCAGCTTAAAAAATAAGGACAACTACATGCTGATTGGTTGTTCTATAGTCCTGTATATGTGCACAATCAAACTGCACAAATGAGCCCAATCAATCACTACTACAAGACAAAAACAGAAAAGCCAGTTATATCCTGACTCTTTTCCCCTCGGATTATGTAAGCTCATGAGAAAGAAGGCCAACAGTAAACAATGTACAATTAGTTACTAAGTTGCTTATGATGGGAAAAGGACATCAGCTTACACTTCCACTCTGGACGCCTGTACGGTCCCATGTCAGGCTCAGCTCACTTGTGTGTCCATTTCCTGTATTATTCAGATAACCCTCTATCTGCATAGCATAGCGGCTTCCCCAATCTGCATTAGGAAACAGCCGCTCTCCACTGTTTCTCTGCAGAGCTCGCTTCTCCTTATCCTGGTGCACTGACCATCGGCCAACCTCCTCCTAAGAAAAGAAGGTAAAAACATGGTAAAGATTTTTTTTAAGGGGCAGAATTCAAAAACATAGGGCAGAGTATGACAATATTCCAAAATGGATGTTACAAGAGGAGTATGGCAGCCCAAGACATCCACTGGCTTTTTTTATCTCTTACCAACTTTTGCAATGCAAGGAGGTCTCCATGCCATAATTCCAGACTCTGCACCTTCCACCCAAACTTTGGAGTCTCAAACCTTCTACTTTCTACTCCAAGTCAGATCCCACTGGCTACAGCTACAGGTTTATAGCCTGAAAACATAGGGAGATACCACCACCAATGCCGAATGACAAGAGGTGATTTACCTACTATCGTCTAATATCTGAAATATCAGTTTTGGATAGGTGGACCTTCAATTTTTTTATTGTATGAGCAAATGAGCTGCATTTACCAATGTTAAAAAAACAAGAATGAAAAAGTGATGCTGAAGACTGTGACGGACTCCCTGATACCCCGACTGAGTATCTCCGTCTTAAGGCTGTTCCCTGGGTGCTGGAACCAGAAGAAAGTGAATATAGCATTGGCTTACCCCAGACAGAGAGAGAGAGAAGAATGGAGGAAGAAAATGAAAAGAAAAGAAAGGGACACCTATTGCCCCTAAACTAATATGGGGGGGAGAGGGTGCTTGAGGATGAGGGCTTGGGGAATGCGACAATGCTTCATGTTAACCTCAACATTAAAAAAATACTTTTTTTACAGTAAAAGCTGTGAAGATGTGGAATTGACTGCCATAGGAGCTAGTTCTAGCCAACTCAGAAGATTGCTTAAAAAAAAATAAGGTTGGATGTGTTGCTTTATTAGGGCCTCTTTGCCTTCCTATGGATGAACTAAAGGATTACAGTTCAGGATACAGAGGATACAGGTTTTATATGTTTGGCTTTTGGTTGAACTTGATAGACATACAGTATGTCTATTTTCATCCTGACAAAGAATGCCAACATTAACTACCAAGGGCTACCACACTATTACAGCTCACTGCTATTTATTATGCTTTATTATGACCAGCACTTACCAGCATCTGTGTACTGCCAGGGTACCGCCCAAGACGAGCCACAACATAGAAGCGCTGAATGCGAGCCCAGATGGAGACGCGGTCAGGGGAGGAGCCTTGGCTCAGCATGGGGTATAAGAACCCTTTATACACCAGAGAGACGTCCATCTCTGTGCTGGGACTTAACGTGATGGTTGTGCTACGCACAATTGACACCTGAAAAAAGTAAATCAGGCTTTTAACTGCATGAAAAAAACTTACCGTGACCGACAGCAGCAAGCATCAGCACAAGCTATACATGCCACATGGCAATATGGACTTATTGCACAGGTGGCAACCTATCACGGTACCACACTTGAATTCACTGAGCTCCTGAGAGCGACCCATTCCTTCACAAATGTTTGTAGAAGCGTCTGCATGCCGAGGTGCTTGATTTTATACACCGGTGACCATGGAGGTGATTAAAACAGTGGAATCCAATGATTTGGAGGGGTGTCCCAATACTTTTGTGTATATGCAAAAACATTTTAAAAAAAAAGTTGAAAAAGGGTTAAAACTTACCTGCGTCTCTGCCGTGCGCTCCTGTCAGAAGATCTGAAGAAAAAGATCATGGGGTGGGAGCATGCGCAGTACAGATCTTCACCCGGGTGCAGAGGAGAGACACAAGGTAAGTTAAAGTGACATTAAACCCTCAGTTTTTTTAACATAAAACAATACTGTAATGTGTGCCTTACTGTAATCCGTGGTTGTTTCCCTTCTCTTTGCTGCTCTTCCTTTTAAATCTGTATCTGTTCTCATGTTCTGCAGAACTTCTGTTTTGCAGCAGACTGCCTTGTCTCAGGAATGGATACACGGTGTCTGTGTATACGTTTCTATAGACTTTTAACCTGAGCCAGCACTACAGGAAGAGGCCCTGACCTGCAAAGGGAAGTTCTCCCCAAGCATGAGAAGACATGAGGATTTAAAAGGAAGAGCAGCAAAGAGAAGGGAAACAACCATGGATTACAGTAAGGCACACATTACAGTATTGGTTTATGTTAAAAAATCTGAGGGTTTAATGTCACTTTAATGCAGGCAGCGTGCACCCGCACGGACTCTGTGGGACAGGAAGTGCCAGGAAGAGAGAGGAAGTTAGCGCTGGATCAAAGACCGGCACCAGCGCTGGAGGGACTCCTGAAAACTACAGGAAAGAAGATGGTTGGATCAAGAGGCATCATTTAAGCGAAGTCCGTACACTAGCATTGGGGGGGAATTTGCCTTTAATGTCACTTTAATATCTCTTTCCCCTGTAGCAAAGCCAAGGTGAATATGTGCTGCAGGGGAGGGGGACACTAAAGAAAACCTACAGTTCTGCTTCATCCTAAGGTGTCTTTTAACAGCCAATGTTCAGAGTTCATCTTGCATTAAGCCTAGATACTATGTCCGCTCCCTACATATTGCACGGCTCTAATTGGCCATTCCCCGGCCCATACAAGGTGGCATAACAACTGCTGAACAGCAGAAAGTGTGCGATGGTTTGGAATCTTACAGGACTAATTTTCAATGAGGGGGTTCCAGAACTACCAAAGCGTACTGGTAACAGGGAGCTGACTGGCAAGTGAATGGAAGTAAAACGTGTCCTACTCTAGCAGCTCTGTAACCTGATGGACCAGCAGGAGGACAACACTACTGATACCAATATAGAAACAAAGTACTTTGTAAAAAGGACTCACCGATTGCACGCACGGGGACATTCCTGGGGTGATCGTATAGAACCATTCACTCTTCCTCTGCGGCTGCACAGAGAGTCTGCTTTCTTGCTGCTGTGTATCTGCCACTCACAGTACTGGTCCTGGGAGCACAACAACAATGATATGATTATCTTTCCATCACCACCAAGACACTCCACTTGCTGATGCATATCTCGGCACTTACATTGCTGCAGGCCTCACAGTCGCGGTACTCCTCGCACAATTGACAGTGGCTAGGGGTCAGGATCAGGGGTGTGTCTTGACAGAATTTTGCCCAATCCACACCTAATCTGTAGTGACACGTGCGGGTCCTAGAGCACCAACCGCAGCTTTGATCTGCCAAGCAGGCCAAGCAGGAAAGGTAGGAACAGTCATCTGAGCGATGGGGTTCCAGGAACAGGAAAGAAATCTCCTAGAAAGCAGGTACAAAGAAGTGAAAAGGGATTTAATAAAAAAAGAATGCAAAGAAACTGAAGTTTTGTCTTCTCGTTCAGGGGGTATAGCCCCCACATTTATTATTGGACTTTCTTTCATGATAGGCTTACTTTAAAGTCAGAAGGTTTAATGCAATGTAATTTGATATAATAAAGCAGGAGAACAGAAACGCCTTATATTGCTGTCTCATAGATATGGGAGTAATAGATGTGTATGTTGGGTGAAGGAAGGGTCACCCTTAGAACTGACTATTCATATCAGCTTAAAAAATAAGGACAACTACATGCTGATTGGTTGTTCTATAGTCCTGTATATGTGCACAATCAAACTGCACAAATGAGCCCAATCAATCACTACTACAAGACAAAAACAGAAAAGCCAGTTATATCCTGACTCTTTTCCCCTCGGATTATGTAAGCTCATGAGAAAGAAGGCCAACAGTAAACAATGTACAATTAGTTACTAAGTTGCTTATGATGGGAAAAGGACATCAGCTTACACTTCCACTCTGGACGCCTGTACGGTCCCATGTCAGGCTCAGCTCACTTGTGTGTCCATTTCCTGTATTATTCAGATAACCCTCTATCTGCATAGCATAGCGGCTTCCCCAATCTGCATTAGGAAACAGCCGCTCTCCACTGTTTCTCTGCAGAGCTCGCTTCTCCTTATCCTGGTGCACTGACCATCGGCCAACCTCCTCCTAAGAAAAGAAGGTAAAAACATGGTAAAGATTTTTTTTAAGGGGCAGAATTCAAAAACATAGGGCAGAGTATGACAATATTCCAAAATGGATGTTACAAGAGGAGTATGGCAGCCCAAGACATCCACTGGCTTTTTTTATCTCTTACCAACTTTTGCAATGCAAGGAGGTCTCCATGCCATAATTCCAGACTCTGCACCTTCCACCCAAACTTTGGAGTCTCAAACCTTCTACTTTCTACTCCAAGTCAGATCCCACTGGCTACAGCTACAGGTTTATAGCCTGAAAACATAGGGAGATACCACCACCAATGCCGAATGACAAGAGGTGATTTACCTACTATCGTCTAATATCTGAAATATCAGTTTTGGATAGGTGGACCTTCAATTTTTTTATTGTATGAGCAAATGAGCTGCATTTACCAATGTTAAAAAAACAAGAATGAAAAAGTGATGCTGAAGACTGTGACGGACTCCCTGATACCCCGACTGAGTATCTCCGTCTTAAGGCTGTTCCCTGGGTGCTGGAACCAGAAGAAAGTGAATATAGCATTGGCTTACCCCAGACAGAGAGAGAGAGAAGAATGGAGGAAGAAAATGAAAAGAAAAGAAAGGGACACCTATTGCCCCTAAACTAATATGGGGGGGAGAGGGTGCTTGAGGATGAGGGCTTGGGGAATGCGACAATGCTTCATGTTAACCTCAACATTAAAAAAATACTTTTTTTACAGTAAAAGCTGTGAAGATGTGGAATTGACTGCCATAGGAGCTAGTTCTAGCCAACTCAGAAGATTGCTTAAAAAAAAATAAGGTTGGATGTGTTGCTTTATTAGGGCCTCTTTGCCTTCCTATGGATGAACTAAAGGATTACAGTTCAGGATACAGAGGATACAGGTTTTATATGTTTGGCTTTTGGTTGAACTTGATAGACATACAGTATGTCTATTTTCATCCTGACAAAGAATGCCAACATTAACTACCAAGGGCTACCACACTATTACAGCTCACTGCTATTTATTATGCTTTATTATGACCAGCACTTACCAGCATCTGTGTACTGCCAGGGTACCGCCCAAGACGAGCCACAACATAGAAGCGCTGAATGCGAGCCCAGATGGAGACGCGGTCAGGGGAGGAGCCTTGGCTCAGCATGGGGTATAAGAACCCTTTATACACCAGAGAGACGTCCATCTCTGTGCTGGGACTTAACGTGATGGTTGTGCTACGCACAATTGACACCTGAAAAAAGTAAATCAGGCTTTTAACTGCATGAAAAAAACTTACCGTGACCGACAGCAGCAAGCATCAGCACAAGCTATACATGCCACATGGCAAATATTAGTGGCCACGGAAAAAACATTGCACCATATGTTGCATGAAACTTTGTCCTATCTGGCTGAAATATAGTAATAAACTAAATATTCTCAAAATTGCAACTGAGCCCAAGGATCTGTTGCACTTCATAAGATGAGGGAAGGAACTAGACGTGGTCAATACCAGGACACAGAAGCAGTAGACTGGGAACACAGAAATTAATTTGGACTCATATATATTCTTTAGTATGGCACTGCTCTTTATATTCTCCAATCTGTAGATTAACCTGCAGCTAAAGTCATTACAGAGCTGAAGGATTACCCGATCAGGCTGAGACTCATTGCGTGGTTGCTGATAGGTGATTAGGTGAAGCCCAGGCAGAAAGTTGCTGGTCCGGCATCCATCAAGAGAAGTGATAAAGGTGTTTACGGTGCCCCACCAACCATATGTACCTGAAATCTGCCCTACACGACAGTTCGAACGTTCTGTTAAAAAAGGAAAAAAGTTATAAAAAGCAGTAAAAAAAAAAAAAAGAAGACCGCGACACAGGGAATCTCACACAAGAAAAGACCGTACCTGAAATCGGCATGCAGGATTCATTCTGGACACACCAGCCAAAGGAGCGTGGGACATGGGAGAAGGTTGACAGGTTGGAGCTGAAAGCCAGACAGGACTGACAATCAGAGAGGAGTCTCGCCAGTCCTAGGCAGCTCTTGTCTGGGCACTGACAAAAAAAACAGACAGATCAGGTCACAGATAGTTACAAAAAGGTTTGTATGACCGCTACACTTGCATCAATTTATCATTTGAGTTTATTTAGATCCAATCTAAGAATCCTTTATTCCAAACTGGCCTCAACTGATTGGAGCAGCTGAATTTTCCCATTCATTATCACTTTTTGGACAAAGTTTAAAATTAAGGTGGACAAATAGAAGCATCGAATTAAAAAAATAAAAATAAATACTTCACATTATTTAAACATACACTTAAAAGAGCTGACATTTCAGACCTGCCTGATTGCATCCTTTTTTAATTTAAAGGAGAACTATAGGGTAAGTGTTTTTCCCCATAGTTCTCCTAAGGGTCACGGGAGGACATAAATTAGCGTCCTCCCGCGACACAAAGCTCAGTATATCGCGAGCTACAGCTCGCGGTATACCGAGACCGCCAGAGCCGGGACAGATCCCGACAATACTGTCGAGATCCACCCAGCTGCGCGATTGACAGCTGGCTCTGCCTATCTAGAGGCAGAGCCAGCTGTACCCTTCCCCGTTCGTTCCTCCAGTCAGCGCTGGAGGATCGGAGCGGAGAGGGAAGGGGGAATCCCTGCAGAGAGCCGTGACTGAGAGTCACGGCTCTCTGCAGGGACATGATCAAGAAGTGAGCGAGCAACGGTACATGTTTGCTCACTTCCTGATCTATTGAGCCGACGTGTGGCAGTTTCATTGTCACACGTCGGCTCGAACTATGAGGTGGAGTGAAAATCCCTCACCTCTTAGTTCTCCTTTAACCTGATAAATATGAATTCAAGGCAACTATTATAATAATTGGTATTTTTATATAGGGCTGACAATTTATACAGCACTTTCACATCAGTCCCTGTCTTCAGGGCGCTTACAATCTAAGGCCCCTATCTCACATACATACAGGGACAATTTTAGACAGGAGCCAATTAACCTACCAGCATGTCTTTGGATTGTCGGAGGAAACCGGAGTACCTCCTTGCAGATATTGTCCTGACCGGGATTTGAACCAGGATCCCCCAGTACTGTAAGGCAGAAGTGCTAACCACTAAGCCACTGCAGCCTCCGACTGGTCATATGAGATCAAACAACCTGCCTCATATATATTTGGCCACCAATAGATCACCAAATTAAAACAAAGCAGGTGAAAGAAAACAAGACAAAAAAAAAAAAGGCATCATACAATTTTGTTTGGCTGAGGGGTCTGGCAACTTGTCTCACACCAGGTACATTCTGGATCCTTGGAACAAATGGTCTCGTCCGTGTACATGGAGCAATAGTCTAGGTGGTACTGTAAAATCAGAATGGATAGTTATTTATATTGCCAAGCTCAGTAACCGATACCCAAACCCTGTGTCCCTTGTGCCCGTTTCATACTCACATCCTGCACTGGCGGCTGATACACAGACCCCGGCACAGGCACTTTGTAGGCAAGCAGATCTCCACGGGGAGTACCACTGTATCCTCCAGCCACCAGAAGGACTCCGCCTTTCATGAGAGCCGCTACGTGGGAGTACCGTCCACTGCCCAAACTTTGATAGCCTGCATTTAAAAACAAAAAATTGATATCTTGATTTTTGAAATGACCATTTAACCTCACCACCTAGGTTCAAAACACCTTCAAGATACAGAACCTCACAACATTTGCCTTCATCTTACTCTGATGCGGTGGTGGTCTCAGAATGTCACTTAGCACCCACTGGTGACAGCCAAGATGGTAAAAGAAGATTTCCTCATCGTAACACTTCTCCTCTTGGTGGTGAATGTGCAGATTTCCACCTGTATCCACCAAGAATACACGGTCAGTAATCTGTACAATGACAACAAACAGCTACAGCAAAACTGAGTATTGGAAGACCCAGTGCAGCAAGAAAAAAAATGCAGTGGCAGTTAATGGTGTGGAAATAGTAAAGTATGTCACCAGCACACCATGGTTCAATCTTCAAGCAGTGATCATTTTATTGATGCACAGACATCTAGTCACATTGCAACGTTTCGGAGCCACTCAGGGTCTCTTTGTCATGCCTGATGAAGGGACCCCGAGTGGCCCTGAAACGTTGCAATGTGACTAGATGTGTGTGCATTAATAAAATGATCACTGCTTGAAGATTGAACCATGGTGTGCTGCTGACATACCTTACTATTTGGATCTGAAGCGGCGCCATCCGCAATTAATACAGCACCCACCACAAGGGACATACCAGTAAGGAGTGTGGTGGGATTCTTCTGAATTCAGTTAATGGTGTGGGACACATACAAAAAAAATTAACCCTTTCCTATTCTATTAAAAACATTTGGCCCGTGATGTGAGATTTCACTATTCAACTCAGCAAACAGTTATTATTATAGAGGATTTATATAGCGCCAACAGTTTGCGCAGCAATTTACAATATAAGGAAGACATTACAATCACAATACAAATCAAGACAAGACGATAAGGAGGGCCCTGCCCCTGAGGGCTTACAATCTAATAGGGAGGGGCAAGTGATACATGAGGAGGTAGCTGTGTGGGGATGAATTGTTTGAGAACGTGATGGTTGAGCGGTTAGGTTGAGGTGGAATAGGCTTCCCTGAAGAGACGGGTCTTCATGGATCGCCTAAAGGCGGTCAAAGTGGGAGACGGACAGGTTGGAGTAGAGTTCCATAGGATGGGAGAGACTCTAGTGAAGTCCTGGAGGCGAGCATGGGAGGAGTTGACGAGGGAGCTGGAAAGCAGGAGGTCTTTTGAAGAGTGGAGGGGACGGTTAGGGTGATACTTTGAGACCGGGTTTGAGATATAGCCGGGGGCAGAGTTGTGGATGGCTTTGTAAGTCATTGTTAATATTTTGAATGTATCCTTTTGGCTAATGGAAGGCAGTGGAGGGATTAGCAGAGGGGGGTTGCAGAAACTGAGCGGTTGGTTAGGTGAATGAGTCTAGCAGCAGCATTCATGATAGACTGAACAGTTAAATCATAACAGAAGTCTGTTATTTTGATCACCCCTTCAGCACTGTGAGCTACATAAGCTTCAATGCGACAAATGACATCTTTGTCTGGCCTTCTAAGTCCTGCATCTTTGGGCAAACTGATTGGCCACCTCTGGATGAGGTAACTCCCACACTTGCAAAATACTTCATACCGGCACCCAAGGCACGCTGAGAATGTGCAATGCATTGCGCATGCCTTGGGTGAGTGTAAATGCAGAAGAAACAGTGCTAGTAGACAGGAAGTATGCATTGCAAAAGAAACATACAAAGTCTCTTCTGCAATAAAAGCCTGCCTGCCAGCAGTGTTCTACTCTTAGTCTCCAGTTCCACTTAGTTTAGCTGCACTGTAATGTAGCCTGACTGGAAATAGAAAATATGACAGACAAACCAACAGGGACCCTACAAGACACAGTGACAATGTATGGTCATCAGTGAAAGATGCACAGCAAAATAACGTACCATAAATCACCATATAGTTCCCGATAACAGTGGCGCTGTGGAATGCTCTCTCACGGGGCCCGCCGCGGTTACCATCGCGTGGCTTCAGCGTGGTCCAATAATTTAAATCCACATGAAACAGATCTGTGGTATTTACACGTATGCTGAACCTGGAAGAATGGGTAGAAAGACAACAAAATCATCTGTATGAAGGCTTTTTACAGAACTAAATAAATATTACTTATATATATACAGGTGAAACTCGAATAATTAGAATATCGTGCAAAAGTAATTGCAGTAAGTGCTGCAAAAGGGGCCCAAACCAAGTCTGAGTACATATGCATGCTTGTACTTTTCAGAGGTCCGATATTGTTCTATGTACAATCCTTGTTTTATTGATTGCATGTAATAATCTACTTTTTTGAGGTTGTGGATTTGGGGTTCTTGGGGTTTTTATGAGCTGTAAGCCATAATCATCACAATTATGACAAATCACGGCTTGAATTATCTTGCTTTGCATGTAATGAGTCTATCTCGTATATTAGTTTCACCTTTTAAGTTGCATTAGTGAAATAAATGAACTTTGCACGATATTCTAATTATTCGAGTTTCACATATATTTATTTATCTGCATGGAGCCTAGGCGAACAGGACAAGCTATGGGAGCAGACAATGCTGACTTTGAAGGGGCATAAGTTTTCTTTGTAACCTTTGGATTTCAGAACTGTATATCAGGTTTGAATAAAAACCGTAAAACTTTGCACTTGGGGAAGGGGAAACAATAACCCCGGGAACAGCAATCCCTGACTGGAGGTCTGTCCGATGTTGATTCATGGAATGCAAAGTGAAAAATCAAGGTGGACAAGGTGGGACTCTATTGGCAAGCTATGCAAGCTTTCTAAACCTCCACAAAAGCTATCAAGTGTCGTTGTCCCCCTCCATCTCTCATGGAAAGGGTGGAGGCAGACTTTCATGCCCTATCAGATTTATACATAGGCTTGGAGCGCTTGGATTACCACGGACACTTAAAGGGAGATTTGTGAGTCCAGAAACTAGAACCGGACTTGGGGGAACGTTTAAATGCATGATAGGAAGCTGTCGACCCAAGTCGCTGATCCTTAACTTTGTGTAACTGGGGTAAGTGAGATCTCTTAGCCTCTGTCTCAAGAGAAGGCATAACACTGTTATTCCACTGACCGGCACTTAAAGGAATGGCAGGGGTGATAGCCTGAAAGGGGCTGGCCATCAGTTTTCTATGTGCCTAGTGTCCATTTCTCCTCCTGGCGGCAGTAAAACCCCAGGTTACTTAATTACCATCAAGCTGTCCTCCTAAATGTACAATAGATACATTTAATTTAATAAATCAAATCTTTCCTCCTCCAGCAGAAGAATAAACATATCGTATAGAAGGCAGCATAAGATTTTTACCTTCAAATGCAGAGGTATTTTTGACATGGCCCCCACAGTTGTCCTATAAAGACTCCAAATTCAGAAGGCATGCATAGCATACCCCTGGACTCCTGTGAGAACACTGGGTCACCGCAACCAATTGCCAGGCCCTAGCAGTGTCTCACTGGAGTATTGGAGCTTGCCTACATGAATGCCAGCTCTCAGAAAAGCAGCTTGGAGGAGGAAGTTCTCACCTTGCATTGGATGGCCGGTGACCACCATAAACCACCAACGTTCGGGAAGCAGAATGGAACACCATGGAATGACCAGCTGCAGCTGGTGGCTTTCCTCCAGATGGATGGACCTGCTCCCATTCCCAGGAATGGAGATTGAAACGGTACATCTCCGGAGAAAAGACATCTTGTGTTGTGCGGCCTGTACAAAGGTAAGAGAGCAGAAATACATAACAGGAATGTAAGTGAATCCTTAAAAACTGTAAAAAGCGAATACACTATACAGTTA